TAACTTTAATTTTGAATGGGAGTTATGATCAAATGCTTATTGATGAAGTTATGCAAGTCTTGAACACTTTATCAGAGAGCCACTCACATAGAAGGGATGAGAGATAATTAGCTCCTCAAAAATGAAGCACCAATGAAAACTTTTCTACTCAGTTGGTCACTATCTTGTCTACTCTCAACAAGAGATTTGATTTGTTAGAGAGTCAAGTAAAGAAAAATAATGTGATAAATGTTAATTCTATGCAATTGACTCCTATTATTTGTGATCATTATAGAGATGTGTATACGCCTGACTAATGTCCTATGTTTATGTAAGTTGAGGCAGTAAATTGTGTAGGGAATCTTCAAAGAGAACAAGGGAATCCTTACTCAAATACTTACAATCTTGCATGGCAAAATCACCCTAATTTTTCTTAGAAGAGTGGTACATCTCTTAACCAAGCATCTACTTCAGGTGCAATGCCAACTAATTCCCCTAGTTTCTTACAAGTAAAAAAGCAAGTTATGCCAATTCAAGAGTCAAAATTAACATAGAAAAAGTGATCGTAAAGTTGGTAGAATCTTAGATCAAGAATACTCAGGAACAAGCTGCCATAAATGCTAGCATAGATTCATCTCTCAAGAACCTTCAAGTTCAAGTGAGTCAGATAGCCATTACTTTGAATACAATGTCTCAAGGTGGATTGCCAAGCAATACTGTGCCTAACCCTCATGGGGAGGGGAAAGAAGACTATAAGGAAATTACCTTAAGAAGTGAAAGGCAATTCCTGGAGGTATCTCATCCATTAGATTCTTCATCTAATCAAGTTATTGACCCACCTCAAAAGAAGATGCAATCTGAAATGATGAATTCTGAGAATGCTCTTGCTAAGAGTGAAGATGGTAAAGTTAGGGAAGGGAAGGATACGACAAATGAGCATCCAAAGTGGTGCTACCCCTTCCTTTTCCTCAATCATATAAGAAGAAAGTAAAGGATCAACAATACTCCAAGTTTTTTGATATCTTAAAACAACTCTATATCAATATTCTAGTTTATGAGGCATTAGAGCAAATGCCTAAGTATGCAAGTTCCTCAAAGATATGTTAAGTAAGAAAAAGCGATTTACTAAATTTGCTACAGTGGCTTTGACTAAGGAAACCACTAGTCTTCTGAAGCCACATATTCTACTCAAGTGTCGGGATCCTGGTTCGTTCTTTATACCATATCTTACTAGTAAAAAATTTGAAGGCTGTGTATGATTTGATCTTGGCTCTACTGTGAACCTCATGCCTTTATCTGTCTTTAAGAAGCTTCAATTAAAGGAGAAAAATCCTACAACTGTCATACTACAGTTAGCTAATAGAAATCTCTCATATCCTTAAGGCATTATTGAGGATGTCTTGGTAAAAGTGGGTAATTTCATCTACCTTATTGATTTTATAGTCATTGATATTAAAGAGGATAAGAAATACCATTGATTGTTGGTAGGCCGCTTTTACCTACAGCTAGAGCTTTGGTAGATGTAGAAAAGAGAGAAATTGTCTTAAGGCTTGATGATGAGCAAATCACATTCAGTGTGGATAAAGCCATAAAGTACCCAACTAGAGTAGAAGGGTGTGCAAAGATTTTTATTATTGAAGATCTTGTCGAAGATGTTTTTAAATATCATGCTTTCCAAGATCCTCTTAAAGCTATATTAATTGGGAAAAGTAGAAGGGAAGAGGTCAACCATGTGCAAGTCAAACAAGCTCTAAATGCTTCTTCATCATTTCTTAAGAGGCATTGGCAATATAAATCTTTACAGTTAGAATCACGAACTACTCCTTCTCTTCAACCTTCTTTGGAAAAACCTCTTTGCTAGAGTTGAAACCACTCCCACCTCATCTGAAATATGCTTATCCTGGAAATTTTAAGACGCCATCTGTTGTTAGATCTTCATCACTCAATCAAGAACAAGAGGCACAATTGCTAAATGTGTTAAAGAACCATAAGAAGGCTATGGGTTAGACTATTGCTTACATAAAGGGAATTAGTCCTGCTATAGTGATGCACAAGATCTTGATGGAAGATGATCATAAGAAATCTATTCAAAATTAAAGATGGCTTAAGCCATGATAAAGGATGTGGTAAAGAAGGAGGTGATCAAGTGGTTAGATGTTGGGATTATATATCTAATTTCTGATAGCTCGTGGGTTAGTCCTGTGCAATATGTTCCTAAGAAAAGGGGCATGACAGTGATCTCTAATGAGCAAAATGAGCTCATTCTTACTCGTACAATCATAGGATGGAGAGTGTGCATGGACTATAAAAAATTGAATGATGCTACAAGGAAAGACCATTTTCTTCTCATATTCATTGACCTAATGTTAGATCGGTTGGCTGGCAAGGAATTCTTCTGCTTTTTGGATGGGTACTCAAGATACAATCAAATTACTATAGCCCTTGAGGACCAAGAAAAGACAACATTCACCTATCCATATGGCACTTTTGCCTTAAGAAGAATGCCTTTTGGCCTTTGTAATATGCCGACCACTTTTCAAAGATGCATGATAAATCTATTTTCAGACATGATAGAGGAAATTATGGAGGTCTTCATGGATGACTTTTTGGTGCTTGGTGAATCTTTACATACTTGCTCGATGAATTTGGAAAAAGTCTTAAAGAGATGTAAGGAAACTAATCTAGTGCTCAACTAGGAAAAATGCCACTTCATGGTGATAAAGGGCATTGTTCTTAGGCATAAAGTCTCTAAGAAGGGTTTGGAAGTAGATAGAGCAAAGACTTTAGTTATTGAGCTACCACCTTACTCATTAAACGTCAAAGCTGTAAGGAGTTTCTTAGGTCACACTAGTTTCTATCTACGATTTATCAAGGACTTTTAAAAGATCACTAAGCCTTTGTGCCGGTTACTTGAGAAAGATACTCCATTTAAATTTGATGACGAATACACCAAAGCTTTTGAAGAACTCAAAAGATAATTAATCTCTGCTTCTATTATTGTTCCTCCAGATTGGTCATTACTCTTTGAGGTGATGTGTGATGCAAGCGATTATGCTGTTGGAGTTGTCTTTGGACAAAGGAAAGACAAGATCTTCCATCCTATCTACTATGCGAGTAAGACTCTTGTGCTCAGGTAAATTACACTACTACTGAAAAAGAATTACTTGCTATTCTGTTTGTTTATAACAAGTTTAGAGCTTATTTGATAGGTGCTAAAGTCTTTATGTTTACTAATCATGCTACTACCAAATATCTTATGAGTAAGAAAGAGTCTAACCATAGGCTAATTAGATGGATTTTGTTGTTACAAAAATTTGACATTAAGATAATTGATAGAAAGGGATGTGAGAATCATATAGCTGATCATTTGTCTAGGTTAGAGAATGAGTTGGAAGTAACTGAAATTAATGATAACTTCCCTGATGAACAAGTATTTGCTGTGAAATGTAATGAATTGCCTTAGTATGCTCAATTTGCAAATTTTCTAGTTTGTGGAGTTATTCCACCTAATTTAAAATCTTACCAAAAGAAGAAGTTTTTGCATGATGTAAAATTCTTTGTGTGGCATGAACCTTTCTTATATAAGAGATGTACTGATCAAATTTTAAGAAAGTATGTGCCTCAAAATGAACAATGTGATATGCTATATGCTCGTGATGCTACTCCTTATGGAGGCCATTTTGGTGGTTCTCCTACTATTTGTAAGGTGTTACAATGTGGTTATTATTGGCCAACTCTATCTAAAGATGCTAATGCCTTTATTTCTCATTGTGATGCATGTCAAAGACCATTGAAGTCCTGGGAACCTCTTTATCAATAACTTTTTTAGTGAAAAGACCATTTTATCTTTATTGACAAATTATGATTTTTTATTCAATTCTTGCAATTCCTTGAAAAAAAAATTGTGATTATTTAAACAAAAGATGTGAATGGGGTTTATTATTTTGAGATCTTGTTTTTCAATATTAAAAATTATACATGACAAATTGTGATTTCTTATTTAATTCTTGCTATTTATAGAAAAAAATTTATTATTCCTTAAACAAAAGTTGTGATTGAGGCTTGTTTTTCAATAATAAAAATTACAATTGACAAGTTGTGATTTCTTGTTTAACTTTTGTGATTTACAGAACAAAAGTTACAGTTTGTTAAACAAATTTTACGAATGGGCCTTGTTATTTGTAGTAAGGGTAGAATGACCTTTTCACCAAAAGTTATCGAAAAAAAAAATTTCTAGGGACTTCATTAAAATTATGATATTTTGATAGACAAAATTGTCATTTATATAATTTAGAGGGATTTTATTATCATTTTTCCTTTTATTTATTGGTCATTGATATGGTTATTGTTATTCTTTGATTTTATTTGATTTCTAGAAAAAAGAAGAATTTAAATTTCTGTGTAAAATTCATGAGAAATTAATATGGGTTTTATTGTGGTTACAATTGCATTCCTTAATTCCGTGTTTGTCACAACAGAAATTATAGGGGAGAGGCAGGGTAAGAACAATCTTTATTATGGCGCAAGTCCGTGGTCTTAGTTCATGGGACACGCCACTATTAATTAGTTATGTGAAACATTATAAAAAAAAAATTATGCAAGTAAATGTGATAGTAAGATACAAATAAAATATCAATGGCTGTGTGATTTTGGATGCTCACTACTTGGTGGCGCACACACACAGAGCATCCATTTTTTTATGAAACAAGATACTTATGTGGTGGTATAAATTAGAATACTTGTATAGGTCCCATTTCAAGGCATTAATTTTTTTTCCCTAATGGGCGAACAGTGATATTCAAAATTGAAAAATGCCTATAGATGGAGAGTCATGAAAAAATAATGTGATCAAGCTGTCGTATGTATTAATAAATTAATAAAATGGTGCATATAATTAATAGAGATGGAAACATGACGCCATGTTTGATGACAGAGAGAAGTGACGTCAGGATAACAAATTAGAAGCAACTTGTCTATATAACGGAGATAATGAAATCGGATCAACAAAAACACAACGAAAGCCAATCAATCCAATATCCAGCACCGTAGAGAAATAGAGATTCAAAATGGCGAACTTGTCCGCCTATCGTGTTTACGCCAGCACTGTGAGCTCCGTTGAAAATCTCCCATATGCGAGCCTCGACAAAGAAATGCATATCGTTCCGGCCTTCGCCAGAGATTACGATATGTATCGGCGTTACGCGACAGGAAAATTTGAGGCATATTTTGATAAAAGCAAGTTCGATGCCCAGACTATCAAAGCCATCAAAAGGAAGTCGACTTTCACCTCCATCAACTTCTTCTTGAGCATCGGAGGGCGTGACCCCGAATTCCCATTTGCCGTGACCTCTTCTGACGAATCCACGCGGATCAAAAATGCCACCGACACTCTCAAACAAATCGTCCAGACTTTCGGTTTTGATGGCATCGACGTTTACTACGAACACATCAAACCTGATGTGGCAAATCAGTTTCCCAAGGCAATAAAAAAGGTCATATGGGATCTAAGGGTCTGTTTGGTTCGAGAGAAGGGAAGGGGAGGGGAGGGGAGGTGAGGGAAGAGGAGGGGAGCTCCCCACCAATTTGAAGGAGAGGCTTTGGAGGGGAGGGAAAATTTTAAAAATTTCCCCTCCCCTCCTCCTAACCAAAGGAGGAGAGGGGAGGGGAGGGGAGAGGTGGGGAGCTCCCCTCCCCTCCCCTCCCTCCAAACCAAATAGGGCCTAAATAACGTGGAAAAAGTCATCACCAAGGCTTCCATCACTGTATCAGCTCCTCTCACTAATAACTATGACGACCTGTACAATGAAAACGAAGCAGTTTTTGACTTTGTCGTCTACTAGACCCACTCGTAGCCTGGTCGTATTTCCAATTTTAAAGAGCTCAAACCCATCTTCAACAGAGTAACTTATCCCAAAGAGGAGATATTTGCTGGCCACAATGATGTCCTGCCATCGGACTGGGCTAACGTTCCACTGCCCATCTTCCTTGGTGCTGTTCCTCAGCTCCTCAACAAAGGAATCCTTGGGATTTCCAAGTAGATTGTGACCCCTAATGATCATAACCCTGAGAGCAAGTGAGATCGGCCAAGATATTATTGCATGATCTATCCTCCCTCGTTTTGTGGTTTGTGTCCATGCAGCTTTTACATTTTTATTTAATTTGGTTTGCCCTAGTTCCCGTTCAATTAATAAGCAGTGTTCATCCAGCTAGAATGAATGCTAGTGTCTGTCTTGTTTGCTTCATATTTCGCTCCCATGTACGTGTGACGAGTCCAATCAATAAAAGCTGCTTTAGTTTGCATGTGATCGACTCTTGTTAAATGATTTTCCTTCTTATCCCTCTTTCCTTATCCTCGACTGCCCCCCCCCCCCCACACACACACAATATAGTAATAAACCTAGAGTTGTGACACCCCAAAATTTGACGTGACAGGGACATAATATATACACAAGCATGAATCTCCTAAGTCTTGATCAAGAAAAACTCAAAATTAATATCTTAACCCATTTGAAATAAGGTTCGAAATCATTGCAACTCTTGTATATCAATAAAATAATTCCCAAATTTTTTATAGAAATTTTGGTAAAACCTCTCCTATATATAGGACCTCTTGAAAGTTTTACAACACAAATTTTCAATTAGAAAATCACAAAAAAAAAATCTAGGAGCTCAACTCTATCCAGCCATTAGACAGTGTATGACAAAATAAAGACTCTAACTATATAACCTTTGTGGAGCACCTGACCAAATTTTCATGATATAATACATAGACTTGATCATTACATCAAAAGGAGACTTATTAAAATAATTAACTGTAAGACATTTTGGTCATCCAAGAGCAAGGTGAATCGTATGTCCTTTGATTTTTTGCCTAAAGATTTTGACCCCAGATATTTGAAATATGAATGTCACAATGATAGAACAGAGTGTATGAATATGAGAGAGATTAAGAGTAATATACAAGGAATTTATCCTAGTTCAACCCAATCCACTTGGCCTATGTCTAGTGTCCAGGAACCTCTTGAGAATTTTCACTATAACCATAAGTTTGATTCGGGCACTTCTGAGGCCATAGTACAATTTCATACTTAACGTCTATGTCACTCTCTTTTATAAAAATCCCCCAAGTTCGATCTGGGCACTTGTAAAGCCACTTAGAATCTCTCAAACTCATAAGTCTATTTCTCTCTCTCTCATAGAGGTAATTTCAATACCTATTTAAGATCCTTTGATCTTAAGTCTGCTCAAATAAATAATAGAGAAATTTTGAACATAAAGTGTCCTGATATAAACTCACTCATTGAGTTAGATGAATGCATCGAAGTACAATAATATCGGAGACAAATACAGAGAGTAGTTTTAGGTATTCAATATCACAGCTTGTGCCATTCAATTCTCCTCTTCATTTTTCATAAATGAGTCCTTTTATAGTTGAAGTTGATAAATGATCTGTTAGACTCATTAAAGTAGTTGTTGGAGTAGTCTTCTTCTCTCAGATGATCTTCTCTAGAACGTATAAGTATGTTTAGTTCTTTCAGTAGAGTTCCCTTACATCTTGTAGAGTATCAGTTAGACACAATTAATTTTCAATTGCTTTTCGATCTTGAGCATTGTATATGTAAGCGTAGCTTTGAAGCTTTGCAATGGTATTGTTACTCGAAAAGGACAGTATGAAATTGTAGCTTTTCAGATGGGTTTATGTGTTGGAACCAAAAGCAAATATAGCAGCATTTACGCATTTAATGTTCTAACAATATTATTGTTGAGAATTATACCGAAAGAACAACGACTATTTGGGAATAAAGATTTTTGGAGCAATCAATAAATGTTTAATCTAACCCTAAGTTGTATTTAGAAAGATTCTAGGACAATTAAATAACTAACACAACTCTCAAAAAGTGAAAAGAAAGAGATTGGAGAGAGAATCGAAAATGCTCTGTTACAGACAGAGAAATAAAACATAATTCTTCGTGCTTGTTTTGGAAGAGGTGGCCTTACTTTGAAATAATGAAGAAGCTGAATATCAAGAAGCATAGGATGGTTTTTTTGAAGTACATCCCTTATATCGAACAAGATTACGTATGCGATGATCTGAAAGTGTTTATTTAGGAATAAGAGAAGTTATTTTCAAATAAGTTATTCCATAATAGGCTATTTCTGAATAAGATGTTACAAAAGATGTATTGAGAATAGCTTTGAAAGAAAGACCCATTATTTTAGAATAAAGCAACCTATTCCCAAATAAGCTATTTTTGAATAGGAAAAAGAGTGGATAATTGAGAATAAGAGAGACACACTATGGAATAGGCTATTCAAAATAAAGAAGGTATTTTGAACTAAGGACCTGTTGATTAAAAATTCACAAAAGCTTTCAAAATTTGAATATTTGATTCTAAATTCAACTGAAATACTTCTCAAGCCATTAGGAAAAGTCGTTAAGAGATCAAGATTAAGTGAAATATTCAATCTTTAGAAAGAAACTCAATTAAATCAAACGCAGAATAACCGTTTGTGTTTTTTTTTTGACAATATGGGAAAAAGAGACGATGAAAAAGTCATTAAGAGTTTAATCCTAGCTAAAATTGTGTTTAAAAAGATTTTAGAAAGGTTATAAAGTTAACACAACTCAAAGAAAGTAAAAGGAATTGATATTAAATAAGTTTCGAAGAGTACGAAGTCAAACATGAAGAGCATAGCATAAAAACTAATGCTTATATCGGGATAAGTGAGCTTATTCCTAAATAAGGCTGGATATTTTGGAATAATAACTGGCTATTTTAGAATAATGGGCATAGTTTAAAATAGAGTTTGTATTAATTTTTAAAGGTCATAACTCTTTCATTTTAACTCCAAATCTAAAAAATGACCTATGGTTGGAAAGCTCTAGATGTCTAAATTTCGAGATGATGACCTACTTGAAAATTCAAATTAGTTTGAAAGATATAATCAAAAAGGTGAACAAAGGTTGATGAATGTACTAAAAGCTTCAACAACTAATGTTGAAAAATCATAACAATTTCATATAAAATTCATTTTGAATGAAATATATCTTTATAGAAAAGCTCTACAAGTCTATTTTGAAATGAAAGAAATTTTACATTAAATGAATTTATATATTAAAAATATATAAAAAAAATAAATAAAGGTCAAAATTGAGCATCTATAAAACTCACTACTATAAAAATAAGTTACAAGAACGCCTGTATAATAGCGTTCTTAATTAAAAAAGTTCTTATATCATAAGGCGGACTATACTGGAGCATTTTAAATTAAAAACGCTCTGGTAAATAGGTATTTGTAGGAGCTTTTGTGATAAAAAACGTTTTTGTTGGTATTAAAATAAATAAAAAAAATAATACAGTGACCTACAGCTTTTAAGCCACAGAAAGCTCTCGTAGGCCCAGGATCTATCGGAGCTTTTTAGGACTAAAAAATAATAATAATAATAATAATCTCAGTAGTCTCGATTTTTAGCTGCCTCAGTTTTATTCTCTCTTCTCCGCAAGTTGTCGTCCTCTCTCAGTTCCCATAAGTCATCTTTGCAGATAACTTCTGAGTCACTATTTCCACCCGTGGTTTACCGCTCCGACGCTGCCGTTGTCCCCTGGTTGTGCCCTCCAAGTTCCAGCTCCGTGTGTCTCCTACGTGGTCGTGAATCAACAGATCTAAAGACAGAGCTGTCATGATTCAGCAGATCTGAAGCCGGCGTCTCGCGTTCTTGGTCCATGCAGTTATCGCCGTCGCATTTCCCTCTGTGCTCGCCTTCATCCTTCTTTTCCTGAGACTTCGCCGTTCAATAGAGCCAGATCTCATCTCAACTCCGTGGGCTCCAAACTCCAGTTCGATCCACGTGCTCCAGATCAGATCATCTGCCGTGTGTCATGCTGCTCTTCGTTCATCTATCCAGCGCTCATATATAAATAGAGGTATGTGAGTCTAAGACATACTGTGTATGTGAAGCGACTCTACTAAAAACTCCGATTGAGGAGCTGCACCATCCGTGCGGCACTTCAAGGAAATAAATTTTTCTTCCAATCTTTGAAGGTTTTCTTTTGATTAGCTCAAGGAAATCGCAAATAAAATTTCTAATTTTAGACTGGTCAAAAACATCATGTGTGTATGTATGTGGAGGACCTATAGATTTCATGAAGGTACTTGAGTTCCATAGGCTTTTGTTTTTCCAAGATGTTATTTGTCTTCTGTAAATATATTGAGTGTTTCAAAATTTATAAGAAGTTATACTATTCTTATGTCATAAATAATGCTATTTATAAGATATGCTGATAGGGATAATGCTATTCCTACCTTATTTTGCAATATATGAATGAACAAATGCGTTCTCTTTCTTGGATTGCCGTGTAAGATTTAATGGGAATTAAGTGCAGATTTATAGTTCATTTTCTCATTGTGTTTGGGAATTAAAAACAGAGTCCATAATTTTCATTGTGGTTCACAGTGTCAACTCATTTCCTGCAGATAGGTTCCGAGATCTCAGCAATAATTTCTTCCTAATTGCTAGTTAGATGTCTAGTTGATATTTTCTTATTGTTGTTCAGGTCTGTGCTGGACTATTATCCCGACTTCAAGAATACAAAGCTGAACATGCGCAGCTAGAGGAACTTCTTAGTGCAGAGGTGAAGCTACATTGCTATTCCATGTTTAAAGGACTACGTGTTATCATGTTTCTCCAATAGAAAAATTTAATTGTTGCAACATTAAATTAATGCTAACTTTGAAGAGAGTTGAGTTAATCTTATGAAGCTCAAATAAAAGAGCTACAGAAAGATTTGTCTGAATGCAAAAGGGAAGTATCTAAAGTAGAATCAAATATGTCTGATGCCTTGGCAGCAAAGAGTGCTGAAATTGATACTCTTGTCAGTTATACAGATGCTGTTAAAAGGCAGGCTGCATTATTAGAGGGAAATATTGCTTCTCTTCAGGTTCTTCATAGTTAAATTGAAGCGTATTTTGCCTGATCTCCATGTCCTGCATCATTTACTTTAGTCCCTTGCAAAAGTTTTCTCCTTCAATGAACACACTAGGTCGCTCAGGTGTTGTTATATTTGAGTTTGGCTCAGAATGTCACCTAGTTAATGTATTCCTTGAAGTTTAAATGAGCTTCTTTTTCATTTTATCATTTCTACAAACAGATACTATCATTTTTCTATATATAAGAGAAAGAGTTTAGCCATATGATTTACATTACCTACTGTGTAGTTTTCAAAAGATATAACTATAGTGTAGTTTTATATACGTCATATGGGCTTGGAGAGAGTTGTTTTGATAGTGTTTAAAAATCATATGCCTCTATGTTTGTGTTGTTAGAAAATAATTGTTTTTTTTTTTCATTTACTGGTATTCATTTCATTGCATGGCGTCCAGGTTAAACTCTATATTTGAGAGGGCGTTCTACTTAATTATCATTGCTAGACACTCACGTCATTATGCGAGCAGCAGGTATGTTCGTTATTGAAAATTAACCCACTTTCTGGAATGGATTTGCCTTTGATATTGTGAAGGGTAAGGGAACTGTTACATTTGATCCCATTTGCACAGCTACCTAGGTTGATCAAATGAATGTACAACATTTGTACCATATTTCTTGTCTTATTTAATTGAAAAGGCTTCCTTATTGATTGCTTCACGTAGATAATGAAGCTGCAGTTCTTGAACAAATTAAATAGGCATGGAAAGTGACATTGAACAGACGGGTTTATTCATAATTAATATGATATTTATCATTTAACTATTTTTTTTAAATTTTTTGCAGATAGAATGTAAATGAGTACTGTACAACGAAGTAAGAATGGTGTTAGATGTACTTATTTATACCATGTAAGCATGGGAGTATTGGAAATGTTTTAAAATTCTTAAATTGTAATCTACATTATAATTATTTATATTGTAATATCGAAAATTAATTAGTTGAACTTTTGTATATAATGGATTTGCTTGTATACTTATATTAATCATATAAATATGTTTTTTTGTTTACCAGTCATGATGTGCATGTAGAAGATTAAAAAAAATGAATTAATATTTTTTTTAAAATAAGCCTATGGGAGCATTTCACGAAAAAAAAAAAATGCTCCAGTAGGGGTCTTACATGGGAGCGTATTGAGAATAAAGTCTCTAGGTCAACCTGCGGGAGCTTTTCTTAGTAGAAATGCTTTGAGCGTCTCAACAAAACAAAGCTCTCGTCGGCTAACCTACGGGAGCGTTTAAAAAACATTCTTGTACATACAGAAACAGTTATTTTCAGAGTGTTTCGAAAACGCTCCGAAAAGGCAAAATCAAACGGTCTAGTAGCTTATTTTTGTATTAGTGACTCTTGACTCAGCATAAATTTTAAGAAATTTTATGGAGTTAGTTTTCAAATAATATTTAAGAGTAAACATTTTCAAATATTGTGAGATATAATTGATTACAAACAAAATTAAGGTTATATCTCACTATTTATTTTAAAAAAGTGTGTTAAGATTTAAAATAAATGTATATAAAAATAGTGAGTTTAACATAAAGATTAGAAAGTTTAAAAGTATTATGCCTATCAAGATGGATTCAAGCTTGTATATTTTCATTCACTTAAACTTTTCTTTATACTGCATTTGGATTAGTTGGGATTTAATTTGTAGTTGGATTTTCTTCTTCGCAAAGGAGAGCAAAGGAAAGACCATCAATGCATATCTCGACCATTGAATTGAATTTGAAAATTTAGAGTTGATAACTTTTAAAAATAGAAATTTAATTTAAATGGTTCAGATTTGCAATGAAGAGGTAATGGAGAAAAAAAAGCAAAGGAGAGAAATCCACCTCTTTAATTTTACATTCAAATTTAAATCAAATTCATTGTTTGGATATACACATGCATGGGAATTTATAGATTTGCATATGTTTTATTACAATTTCTTTAGAATTTCAAACACCTTTTACTTTTTCGTTCTATACCCTAATTATTCAAAATTTCAACCATACTCTTTCAATGCCACCAACACATGTGGCTAAGTCATACAATTAGCAATAGGACCATTTTAACAAGTGCATATTTTAAAGTTAAATAGGTATAGAATTGGGTTTCTATTTAATTATATTTATTAAGATTTCATACGTATTTAATTAATATTTATATTTTTTTCTCTTTTCAATTAAATATAAAGAGAAAAATGAATTTTGGTGCAAAATCTACTCATATTTTTTGTTTTCATATTTTACAAAAAAAAATAAATTTAAGAAAAGAATAGCAAGAGATTATATATATATATAGAGAGAGAGAGAGGGAAGGAGGGACAAAGGGAATGAGCAACCTTTTTGTAAAGCATATCACGAGGAAGGGAATATCATATATATATATATATATATATATTGTTGAAGATTGAGTAAAGAAATATCAATAGAAGTGCAAACGCGTATTGTCCACAGATTTTTAATGGAAAAAGATCAAGGAAATCAATATTACACAAACACATTTGAGTGCCACATGGGCTGGGAATGAAAAGAGAGGTCTCAACTTTAACTAAAAATATTCACCTCCATTATGAGAGATAAGATTCAATTACTTATTTGAGTTCCTCAAGAATTCTTTTTAAGATATTTGGAATCTATAGAACCATTCTGAAGACTGAAAGTGAGGTTATTGAGGAGTTCTGTATATCATAATTATTTCTTTTTTACTCTCAAATTTTCTTTGTGATTGTTTCTCATGATTGGAGATTTTAGAATAGTGTTATTTAATTTTATAATGTGTTTCTAATTTATTCAATTGGGGTAGGGATGTAGCCCAACTGTAGAGTTATTTTTTTATTTTCTTCATTATGGCTCTTTGCATTTATACTTACAAATATATTTATTTTTTTCAATTATATTTATTTCTTTTGGTCTTCATATTGACTTTATGACTAGCTATGATTTAATCAAGTCTATAGATAATCTTGATGGGCTAGGAGGTGAAGAGAGAACCTAGAGTTAAAGAAATAGATATAAATAACTCGGTTAGAGAAAGTTCTAAAAATTTGTGGCAACTTAAACTCACTACTAGAAAAATTGAATTTAGCGAGGGAAATGCCATTTTTCATAGCTAAATTGCATTTTAGCTATGAATTTTGTCCATCGCTAAATTTGTAGCTAAAAAAGGGCTCATTAAATTTAGTGAGAAATTGTATTTCCCTTGTTAATTAGCAAGGGATTGAATCCCTCACTAAAATTATCTAGGGACTGAATGCCTCGCTAATCCCTTACTAAATATGCTTATATTTAAAAATAATTATGCCACATCACTCGCCATGTGTGATGTCAACTTATAACATATCATCAACAACCTCATGCTTTATCAACCACCATGTCACCTACCATCTCATGCTCTATCACCCACTACATGTGCAACAACTCATGACACGTCATTGTCCACCTTGCGCCATGTCACTTGCTCCTTATCATATCATATATTTATCATGTTTATGTTGAAGCCAAGGTTTGAACCCTTGACCTCATACCTTCCAAGCTTTATGCTCTCCTTTTTTGTCAGTTGAACTAAAAGGCACCTGCAATCATTATATGATAAATTATATATATATATATATATATTATTTAACTACATAAATATATCAAATAATATATTATAAAAATACACACATATACATATTAATTTTTATTTTCAATTATTAATATGTTAAAAATATTTATATTTTATTTAAATTATTCTTTATATTATATTTTTAATAAAATATTATCTTATTAATGAAAATCAACTTAAAATAAAGAAAATATTAAATAATTTTATTATGAATATTTTAGTTAATTTTTAAATTTAATTATTATTTTTAAATGAAAATAATTAAATGTATAATTAAAAGTCATTGTCAAAAGGTAATTTTTTTTTTTGCAGTAATTAGCTTGGGATAGAATCCCTCGCTAATTATCTTATGTTAGAGAGGGATTGACAGTCTCTCACTATTTTCCTCGCTAATTCTCTTATTTTAGAGAGGAATTGACAGTCCCTCATTAATTTCCTTGCTAATTTTAAGTCAAGCTACGAAATCAACATCCCTCGCTAATTTCCTCGCTAACTTGGTATTTTAGAGAGGAATAGATGATCCCTCGCTAAATTTTCTCGCTAATTTGCATTTTTCTAGTAGTGACAATAGCTTTACAGTTTAATTAGTTGATTGGCTATTGTGGGAATGAATTTAATGCCAATTAAAAATGACACTGTAATTGATTAAAGAGTTAACTCCAAGGTAGAAATTAGCAACCTACAAGATGAATCCTAAACTCCCATGCTTCAAGTGACTATGTTTTCGTCATCATTATTTTTTTGCTTTAATTTTATTCTCTATGTTCCCAACCTGTTAATTATTTAAGTTAGTAAAAGCAAAACTTCTTTGTGGGTTTGATACTTGAAATATTTAGAAAAATTTATTATTGTGATCCCATACACTTGCTGGAAAAATAATCACAATTCATTCTTATCGGGGTTGATTTTTCATACTACCATTTAAATACATGGATTTCAAATTTCAAATCCAAATCCATCCACCCAAACACTACCTTATTTATTATATTTTCTTACTCTTTTATCTTATATATTCTATATATTAAAATTTTATAATCCTGATTATCCATTTTTTAATTAAATCTATGAAAATCTCCCCTTCCCTCCTCCAAAAAAAAACCCCCCCAACCACAACCACCCTACATACAAAAGACTTGCTTTTCTCGTGTTATTTGAATTAAATTTATCAGACTTGCTTCTGATTAAAATTATCCACTTTAACATCAGTGAACATGTATCCTTTTTTTATTTTAAAAATTGCACAGGTTTGCAGGGTCTTTAACTAGAATTTCTATAAATAATTGCTCTGTTGATTAATTAATTTTTTCAAAGATTCCAGAGTGCTTTGCTAGCCCCCGCTAATGTTATATTATTATTTTTATTTAATGGTTTGCTTAAACCAAATCTCCGACCAAATCAGCTGGCCATTTGTTCATTTAATTATATGTCCGCTGTTTATCAATTCCACACACAGATTTAACAACCTCGACTTTGATATTTTTTTAACTCACTACATTGAGTGTTGACAGTCTCTATCTAGGCATTTTTTAATTGTTAGTTGCGTGCAATGAATTTTTTTAAAAGTTCATCGGCATAATGTTAATCATGTGCCACAAAAGACTTCCGGTCATGGAAAAATATGTTAAAAATATAACGTCGACATTGACTGGGACAAAGGTTGTTGTAGGTTGACGGATAAAAATAAATTAGGAGGACTTGTGGTGCGCGACAATGATGCTTGTGAGGGTTAATATTGCCCATTTAGCATTAGAGGCAATATTGCTATAATTTAATTACTCAAGAGCGATATTACTATGACAAAGAGTTTACAGAACTAGGTACTTTTATCAAAAGAGTTTATGGGAAGAAGTAGACATTAACGCTATTTAAAAACCAAAATCCAAGATGGGGGATAAAATATAAAAAAACTGGCAGAATATACACCTCAATGGTAAATTAGAGAGGCCAAGTACGTATTAACTATGCCAGATGTTACAATTAATCCCTGTAAGGGGTTTTCACTGGTACGGAGTTTGTCTTCCCAAAGTAGTAGGACATTGTGCCTTACGCATTTAAACTAAAGTAGTTGTCATATATTTTGTGATGTTAAATTGTCGCGATAAATCATGTAGTATCTTTTTAATTGTATTGTGAGGGACTTGGATGTAATTCAATGATCTCTGGTATATCATATAGTAAATAGTATATTTTTTTTTCCAAATTATACTAACAATTTTGTTGGTATATACGACAGGGGGCAAGATATTTTACCACAAAAGTATACAGTTTGAGGTTTCCACATATGATTAGAGAAGCCCGTGAATCAACAACAACCATGCATGGCAATAAAGTGTCAGGTAATTGGCAGCCAAATTGCCAGTTGAATAATTATTTCAGCTTTTTTGTTCAAAAAAAAAAATTTGTCTTGATCATGCATGCGGCGTACCATCTTC